AATCCCAACAATTGTCTTACTTGTCTTTTACTTTTAGGCGCTTGTAGTGACAAGATGCCATTCACCCGTTCAGGATCTAATTTCTTAGTTCCCTTACTTAACCAATGTCCTAAGTATTTCACCTCTTCTTCGGTGAATTGTAATTTGGACTTAGATACTTTCAATCCCTTTAAACTCAAAAAAAAATTCAATAGCTTAATACTTTCTCTCCTGACTGCTTCCTGATCTTTTCCCTCTAGCAACAAATCATCCACATACTGCACCAGTGTTATCTCTGGATTTAAATCATAAGTGCTTAATACTTGCTCCAGAGCTTGCCCAAACAAATTTGGCGATTCTGTAAATCCTTGCAGAAGTACAGTCCACCTTAGTTGCTGCTTTCAGTGAGTTTCTGGATCTTCCCATTCAAAGGCAAAATAACCCCTGCATTTTTCCTTCAAGGGGCAAGCCCAGAAGGCATCCTTCAAGTCTATAACACTATACCACTTCGATTCTGGGGAAAGTTGGCTCAATAATGTATACAGATTGGCTACTACTAGAAACCTAGTAACAGTTCTTTTGTTTACTTCTCTTAAATCTTGAACTAAATGATAGGAGCCATATGACTTTTTAATGGATAAGATATGAGCGTTATGGGACGACATACAAGGTTCTAATAGTCCTTGTTTCAATAGTCTTTCGATTACCGGCTGTAACCTCTAACTAGGTATTGTTCCTCCCTTATGGGGATCTCAGGGTTCACAATGGTAATTTCAAAGGGGGTAATGTCCAATCTCCCCACTGATTCAGGGGTGTACCACACTTCAGGATTGATTCTTGCCTCGTCTTCCACAGTGAGAGTGCACAACTTAACTGCTATTTCCTTGTTTCTCACTTCTAAGTTGATTCCGAGTTCAACCATCAGGTCTCTTCCTAATAGATTATATTCTGCTTCAGGCACTAATAAAAAGGACCCTACGTTGAAGCGAGAGGGCGTCTCTATTTCTACCCCTTTTATTATCGGGACCTTAAAGGGTTCTCCCTTCGCTCCTATTACTTGCAATTTCTCCGGGGAAAGAGAGCATCCCCGGGACACTGTCTGGACCGTAGATCTTTCGGCCCCGGAGTCCACGAGGAACTCCACTTCTAGGTGCTGGGGACCCAATTTTAATTTTATCAAGGGCTCTGTTTTCTTATGGGTCCTCAGCAAGTAGAGCCCCTGACCCCCCTAATCTTCTCTGAACATCTGTTCATCTCATATGCGTTTCCTGCAGTTCCTTTTTATTTGCCCTTTCCTTTGACAATAAAAGCATTCAACCTGTCTTAAATCCCTCAGATCACTCTGGTTCCCTTGGGGCCTTCCTCTCGGTTTTGGAACACCCGCTCCCCCCTGCACAGGTAGGAACTACCTTTTGTCCTTCTCAGACCGCTCCCACAAAAATCCTTGCCTGCTTTTTCTGTGTCTCCTCCTCTCTTCTCACGTACACCTTCTGAGCTTCCCTCAACAATTCATCTAATCCTCCCTCCTGCCAATCTTCCAACTTCTCTAATTTCCTCCTAATATCCACCCATGATTTTGCTACAAACTGAGTTTTTAACAGAGCTTGTCTTACAAGAGTGGCTGGGGCTAGTCCTGAATAGAGCTGCAAATTCTTCCACAGTCTCTCAAGCCACTTGGTGGGGGTTTCTTCTTTCCCTTGATGTTCGCTAAATGCTTTGTTAATATTCTGTCCTCTAGGAACAGATTCCCTAATTCCTTGAACAATTATAGTGCACAGGTCTGCCATATGGACTCTATGTTC